TACAATAATTTCTACATATATAATAAATCATCTTAATCAAAAATATCAAAAATCATCTCCAAGAATCTCAAAAGCTATTGTACAACCTTTAATAATAGTCCTCCTCTGTTAAATAAAAGTTTCAAGAGGGAGGACTCCTTAAAGTCTCTTTATAACATGTGCTCGTGTCTTCCTCCTCCCTTTTGAAACTTTTATTTAACAGAGGAGGACTATTATTAAAGGTTGTACAATAGCTTTTGAGATTCTTGGAGATGATTTTTGATATTTTTGATTAAGATGATTTATTATATATGTGGAAAGTATTGTAAAAATATTTCCCCAAAAATATAAAATTATTTATGATATGCTATAATTCATCTGTGCACGGTACTTGTTGTATGTTGGTTTGTCCAGAGGGCAACAGGGACGCTCCTTCGAAAGAGGGCTGGGTGAGCACGCCTGGCCGGAGTGCTTTTCGGAAGGCCGTTCAAGAACCCTTCATCTCCGGCTTTCGCCCAGAGTTCTAAACTTGTAATGCTTTGACCTATAAGGAGGACGCTGGCTAATGACGAACTAGAGGCCTCTGGAAAGGCAGTGCCTACAGCCTCTAAAGCAACGCTCGCCTTACACCGCTCTTCTGGGTCACGTTCAGCATTCTTCTCACAGGGAAAGCGGGCACACAAATGCCACTGGTTATTATCAGCAGCACCCGTGCCTCCTTCCTCTGCGGGCCCTGCAACCACCCACCAGCCAAGGCTTGCCCGCCTTCCCCCCAGGAGCCAACCCGCCCAGCGAACCCCTTCTCTCGATGAGGGGAGGGAGGAGGGGTTACTCACAGCTTCTCCCCGCCCCCCACCGGCAGGGTTCAGGGCACCAGGGATGAGTGCGAGGGGGGCTTACCTCTAGACACCAGGATGGACCCCGTTTTTCGCTGCCCTTCCTTGCTCGCCTTTTTGCCTCCACAGGTTGGGTCCGATGCTCCCTCTAAGCTGTGGGGTCTTGTGAGCAAAAATTCTCCTTTGTGAGCTGCTGGAGTTACAGCCGTGAGCGAGCAATTTGGCTGCATAAATTCCTTTGCTCAGGAGCCCTCCTTTCTGCGCTAAGGCAAAAATGTGTGAGCCAGAGGCGAAAAAACTGTGAGCTGGCTCATGCTCACTCAGCTTAGAGGGAACACTGGATGGGGTGTAGTATTTGTAGGGTTCTTCTGCTCTCAGCCTTTCATCTTGTGCTTCTGGGGACTGTCTTCTACAGGCCCGGGTCCAGTACTCAAACTGGCAGGGGGGGGGGGGTGCTCTCCCTCCCCCATCCCACAACGGGCTGCTGGGTGAAGGGCCCCTCTTCTTTAATAATAATAATAATAATAATCTTTCAATTTATTGATCGCTCAATCCTTGCAGAGCTGCTGGCTCTGAGCGATTTACAGTTACTCATTTCACAAGGGACTAACAATGCTTTATAGGGGTAAGGGAGGACAACAAATATAATCTTTACATAGCACACGTTTTGCAGCTGACGGGGATTTGTTCAGTTGCAACTCAGACGTGATCCGGACGGCATTTTTCCCACTCGGCTTGGATTGGCCGGATGATGTCAGCTCTTCCTCTCCAGGATTCTTCAGGTCGCAGCTCCATACTGCCACCGCCTGGCCAGAACAGCCCATTACAGGCTTCTTGATGCCGAAGAGATCTTCTAGGCTTTTTGATCCTGCGAGCCGAGCCTTCCGTTCGCTGGCTAACACCTCCCCCATGGGGAGCGGTTGGTGTGCCCACCCTAAGGAGTGGTAGCCATTTTATCTACTCGCCGAAGCTTTCGAACCGCTGGGTGGACGGATATCACCTTAGATTCCTTACTCCTTACTTCCGAATCTGAGGCTTTTTCAGTTATAAGAGCCAATCTACTTTGTTCTCAGCTACATTCACTGTATAACGCCGCTGATAAATCCTGTGCACCCCTGTATTTTGGAATATCTCCTAAAGTCGGTCAAGCTGCCTCTTACCTGTACCAGCTTCACACCCCCAAATGGCGAGAAACTCTTTGGCGAGATTCAATGTATTACCTTCGGCCTTATTATCTGGCCGCTTTCAGGGTGTGCCCTTTTCTGACAGGTGTTGTCCACGCACAAATGATAATATCGAAACTATTTCCCATGTCTTGTTTCAGTGCCCCTTCTACCATGCGCTATGACTGAAATTTCTAAATTTTACTTTGGCTTAACTAGAAGAATATCCTGATTGCTTAAAGATCCTTATTCTTCTTGATAATCCAAACTTTGAGATAACGGAAACTGTTGCTAAATTTCTTTCTGGTGCCGTTTGTATTCGCCCTTTATTTAATTGATGGGTATACTTACTTGGTCATTCCTTGTTTCTGTATTTTGCAGATATTATTCTGTGCTGTGGTTGTTGTTGTTTGCAAGGGTTACATGCCAATAAAGGTAACTGGACTGGACTAGCCACTAAGCTTCGGCTGCCCTGCTGCAGAGGCCCCTCCCCCCACCAGGAAAGGGGTACATTTGCCAGAGGTCAGTAGGGCAGGGGGGGGGGGCGGGCATTGCTGCCACTGGCCCAGAAGTATCAGGTGGGAAAGGGGTTGGGAGAGAAAAGGCTTCCCCCCTTTTGAGACGAAGTGCTGGAAAGTGAACCCTTTCACTCCCCCCCCCCCCCGGATTCAGGGCGGAGTCCTCATGCGATTTTAGGAGTTCTCTGAACTTCCTGATGAATCCAAGATACGAAAGGCGGGATGTAAATCTTATAATACAATAGAAGAAAGTTTTGAGTCCAGTGGCACCTTTAAGACCAACAAAGTTTAATTCTAGGTAGAAGCTTTCCTGTGCATGCATGGTATCTGATGAAGTGTGCAGGCACACGAAAGCTGATACCCAGAAGTAAACTTTGTTGGTCTTAAAAGTGCCCAACTGGACTCAAACTTTGTTCTGCTGCTTCAGACCAACAAGGCTACCCACAAGAATTTATAATAGAAGAGGAAGAAGAGATTGGATTTATATCCCGCCCTTCACTACCCAAAGGAGTCTCAGAGCGGCTTACAATCCCCTTCCCAACAACAGACACCCTGTGAGGGAGGTGGGGCTGAGAGAGCTCTCTCGAGGGCTGCTCGTGAGAGAACAGCTCTGAGAGAACTTGTGACTGACCCAAGGTCACCCAGCTGCAAGTGGAGGAGTGGGAAATCAAACCTGGTTCTCCCAGATTAGAGTCTGCGCTCCTAACCACTCCACCAAACTAGCTCTTAGTGAACATATGAAGCTGCCTCACACTTAACCAGACCTTGGGTCCATCAGGGTCAGCGTTGTCTGCTCATGCTGACAGCAGCTTTCCTGGGTCTCAGGCAAAGAGGTCCTTCCCATCACCTCCAGCCTGGTCCTTCTAACTGGAGGTACTGCCAGGGACCGAATCGGGAAACTAGTGTGGTGTTGTGGTTAAGTGCGTGGACTCTAGTCTGGGAGAGCCGGGTTTGATTCACCACTCCTCCACTTGCGCCTGGCTGGATGGCCTTGGGCAAGCGGTAGTTCTGACAAGAGCTGTCCTTGAAAGAGAGCCGTTTCTGTCAGCGCTCTCTCAGCCCCACCGACCTCACAGGGTGTCTGTCTATTGTGGGGAGGGGAAGGGGAAGGAGGTGGTGAGCCGCTCTGAGGCTCCCTTGGGTAGTGAAGGGTGGGGGATAAATCCAGTCTCCTCTTCTTCTGCCTGCGAAGCAGAGGCTCTTCCCCTGATTCACATAGTCTGCTGTTGTGGTGACAGGGAAGATGAGGACCCTCTCGGACACCCGGACTCCCAGCCACAAGGTCGAGGGAGGGAGGGAGAGAGGGAGGGGGCTACTGTGGCACTGGAGGCGTGGAGCCCCCCCTCCCCCTAGATTCTGATCCCACACAAAGCACTCCAAAGGCAGGCCACGGATGCCACGTATTTATTGGGCGGTTGCAGCAGCGACATTCCACAGCTGGCGGGCGATATCTGAGCAGAAGGACCCCCCCCTCAGGAGGGGGGCAGGCCACTGTTTCTAAGGCTAGCGGGGGGGGGGCACACCCACAGTATTACCAGCTCCTGCGTGACACACTTCGCCCAGGCACAGCCACAAAAACATTTACCAGATCGAAATGCCCCCCCCCCCTTCACCGAGACAGGAACCATAAAGGACGGGGAGGAAGGCTTGGAGGCCCCTTCCCCCACCAAACAACGGGAGAGAGCGGGGAAACCTTCTCTCCGGACCGCCCTGCAGATCCCCCCCCTTGGGGAGGAGGCCCCGGGAGAGCAGCAGTCCTCCGCCCACCCCCCTTCTCCACAGCGGAGGAGCCGGGCAAAGCACGCCCCCCCCCTGAGGGCAGGACACCCAGAGAAGAGGCTTCCCCCTGCCTGCCCACCCCACATGGGGGGGGGGCTCCTCTGAGGTTCACACCGACCTCCCTTGTGCCCTGTGAGATCCGGATCTCTATGCGGCGCGTACTGATGAAGCAAGCTGCTCAGACAGGCCGCAAGCTCCGGAGCAGCACAGGACTGTGGGGTCTGCCTCCCCTCACCCTTTATCGCTACTCACCCCCCCCCCCCGGGTCCTGCCCCAGC